CAGACTTTTAATATTATGAACCAATCGGCACTCGATGTATGATGTATTCAACATTACGCCGGTCCCATTTGAGTCTAGGTTGACCAGGGGACCAAGGCGAATTTTTATTTGAACCCGTTACGTGCGTGTCAGACCCAAGACTTTCAGACTAGCTCCTAAGTTACCGTTTCTATATGAGTTATCAATGTGTTATTACTATGTTATAATTACTAATTATATTACACTACCATAACATGACCATTACATCACCATTGAAAAACCACTACATTAAAATTACATTACCATTGTTACCACAACTTCACCACCTACTTTATCATCTAGTGACCATCTATGTTATCATCTACATAACCATTTACGTTAGTATTACGTTTAAGCCTAAACCAAGAAAAACACTATACTTGTCAAAGATGAACAAAGCAAAGTCATAATGTTACATAATACATTGCCATCTTTTGAAACCCACCTATGTAACCAAAACATTACCATTACTTTAGCATTACGTTACAACTACATAAACACTAACTTACCATAAAGTTACAGTGTTACCATTACGTTAGCACTATATTAGCACCATAAATATATATATATATATATATATATATATATATATATATATATATATATATATATATATATATATATATATATATATATATTAATGACCTTGTAGGAAACTTACGGAAGATGCTGGTCAACATCGCTCCAGCTCACACCAAACAGGTCATCAGAATCGTCTTCACGAACGTGGTCGATGCCAAAAGAGGGGCCAAGATCAATTTCAGAAGCAGCCGAATCAGCTTTAGAGTCGTCAAAACCATCGTCGAGGATATCTGCATTGATTTCTGAGTTCCCAAGTCTTACTTCCACTGAAATAGTCAATTCTGGGTCTTTCTCACTGATGTCACCCCCAGACCTAATGTCTCTCCCTCTAGTGTTACTCCATAGTTGGTTATCTGTGAGACCATCCTCCCCTTTATTTTCTACTGAACGATTTGCTTCTGGACTGTTTTCTCTGCTGCCCTCACCTCTTGGTCTGGTTTCATCAGGACCTTTCCCTCCACTAAACACTTCTGTGTTTATAATTCCTTCCGGATCATTACTTCCACTACACACAACCTCTCGTTCATTTTCTTCGGAATTGTTCCTTCTTTCACTCAATCCCTCTGGTGCACATGTTTCCTGATCTTCCTTTTCAAATCCCTTTCCTTCTTGTACACTTTCTGTCTGATTGTTTGCGCTATTACTTGCTCCCATTTGTGCATTTCTGCCCAGATTATTGCCTTCCTTACCAACCTCTTCTGGGTCATTTCCTCTCGAATTGGTACCTCTCTTACCTTCTTCGTCTGGTGCATCTCCTGTTGGATTGTTGCTTTTTCTTTCCTCCTCTCCCTCAGTCAGTGTCTTTTCCAAAACGACTCCACTGATACCAGCTGATGCTGCCCCAGCCGCCGTGCCAATGAGGAGCTGTGTGCTCACGGCCAAACCCGCGGCTCCAGCCGACTGCAGTGCGGACACAGCTGCCATTCCAAACCTGCAATATGTCAGCACATACGAATTACGTGATCAATGACTGTGTGTAAACGGAGGGGAACATGGAAAGAAGTATTGAATAACAAGTTTCTAGTGACAAAAGCGTGTAGGAAAAATACAGGAAAAAATTCATATTTAAATTAGGAGATCATTAACATATAAAAGAATCGATTGACAGGGAATTGTTATAAATGCTGCCTATTTTAACACACAAGTGTTTGTTGATAGTGTGTCTTATCTAGAAGATTTCAAAACAGTCACCAGACCAATATGCAAAAGAAGTGGATGAACTACCAGAAGTTTCCGCCAGAGTTTACAGCCAGTGTACGCGGAGCATGGTTAAGGATTAATATTATTAGTGTACTGCTACAACATATATTTGTACTGTTAGTCTACAAATGGTAAAATAGACAGAGAGATCGAAGCAAGAATCCAACAAGCCAACAATGTCGCATACCAGCTTGCCCCAATTTTAAAACACCCTGCTGTCCCAGCTGAGATAAAAAGACAGATTATAAATACAATCTTTTTACCGACATTAGGTTATCAATGTCAGACTGTGACATTAACAAAAGAACACGTGAGAAGACTAACCACCTGTGAAATGTTTGAGAATGGCTGCGTATAAAACCAGAAGAGATCGAGTGAGAAACTATGTGACTACAAGAACTATTGGAACCATACCCATCGTTAAATTTATTGAGAAGCAAAGAATGAAATGGTTTGGTCACCTAGTGAGAATGGAACCAACGATGCCAGCATCAAAAGCATACAACATGAAAATGGGAACACCAAGAGGCAGGGGAAGACCAAGAAGAATATGGATTGAAGGAGTCACGGACAACTTGAGACTTCATAACATCACGGCATTTGAAGCGACTGAGCGCGCCCTGGCTCGGTTGCCGATCATCTGATAGACTGCGACGCCTAGCGGCACAAGCAGATTTTGACAAAAGAAGAAGAAGAAGAAGTCTACAATTAGTAAAGAGTGACTTGCTGTAAGAAGTTAGTTAGTAAATTGAATATTATTTTCATCCACTTACCTAGAGCTCCGAAAAATCTTGACACAATTTATCCACTGTGTGGTTGCACTATTTATGCAAAGTCAATATGAAAGCAATAGTTTTCTTCAAACACAAGATAGTTTGCACCTGACAACTGTCGATATTCTACAGATATGGCTTCTAAATTACCTGTTTGTATTATCCCTAAAAGTAAGATTTCTACATTTAAAGTAGAAAAGTAATAAACAGCCAGTTCCCAAAAATACGAACTACTGACTAGGAACAGTGACACTGACACACACATCACAACACGACTGTCTCCCGTAAATTACAATTAAAATTGCTGTAATCTAACAGCTTGTATGTCCACTTTACAAAATCCGCTTGTCGATTTGTAATACGAATACAACCAGAACACTGAAGTCTGTGAGCATATTATAATGTCACAAAATGCAACATGGAAACGCTTGCAGTAACCTATTTTCGAGGGGACTCAGCCAAAATGTGCCGTGATTCAGTTGTCAGGACTGTATATTTACAGACGGACGTGGTATTGAATAACAAGTTCTCAGTGACAAAAGGGTGGAGGAAAAATAAAGGAAAGAATTCATATTTAAATTAGGAGATCATCTATATATATATATATATATATATATATATATATATATATATAAAAATCAATGTTTGTGTGTTTGTTTGCCCACTATAGACTCGGAAACTACTGAACCGATTTAGCTGAAATTTTCAGGATATGTTTGTTTTGATACCGGATGTTGAACCATCATGGTTTGAAATTCAACCTGTCACTGTTAGAGATAGGTGACCACAATTTAGGCCATAATATTCGAAACTAATATTTATAACTTTAGTGATTTCTAATTATAGCCACGTTAGTAATTGCGCATGCGCCGTGCAGCCAACACCTCCTCTAATACATAGAGTAGGTCGTGGTACAGCAAACAAGACTATATCTATATCTGTGCAGGCAGTGATTGCCACAATAACTATATTAGACACAATTTCTATTTTCTTTTTTTTTTAAACATCTTTCGATGAGTTGAAAAGTAGCCGATGGATTGGTAGGGAAAAAGAAGGGGGGGGGGGCATCAGGGACTATCTCGACGTCTGCGCAGACATTGACTGCGACATTAACCGTGTTAGACAAGTGCGATTTCTTTTGTTATGCCGTTTCATTAATATATTTGAAATATCTGTCTATGAGAAAACAATTGCCTGCTGTTTTGAGTTGTGTTATAATCGGGACACTGCACACTTCTAAAATAGTTATGTTCTCTTTTCGTTATTCTGATCAGTGGTTGCTTGGTCGAATGGTTAGAAAACTCGGCTCTTGAGAGGGAGACCAGGGTTCGAATCCGCAGTAGTTTTTTTTTTTACTTAGGGCCAAAATAAAATCCTCACCTGCACTGTCGTGGCGACAGCACTAGCCATATGACCCTTAATGATATATATTTAAAAAAAAAAAAAAAAAAAAAACAAGGACAGGTTTGTGTTTAAACCAGTTGATAATTAAATTTGACCATTTTACATACTTATGATTTCATTTTAAACTTTTCGATTGCATGGTTACGCTGAAATTTCATAGCTTTCCATTTATTTTCATTTAGATTTAATTATTTCATCTGCGTTGGAATTTTAAGCTGTGCTGTTTACCATAGCGTTCATTTCCTAATTCTGGTGTATTTTTCCTGTTTTAATTGCTTTTCAATTGGTTTTTTTTCCCTCTCAACTACTTCTATGAGGGAAAGAGTAGTCGGTGAATTTGGGGGGCGGGGGGGGGGGGGGGCAAACTAATTACTGAGAGAGCTTTGTCACAGTAACTGCTTTACCCACTCAAAGTAGCAGCAGCAGTAGTAGTTGTGGTTTGGCGGTTACACCGTAGTGCTCTCATGTGAAGACCACCGGTGAGGTTATGGCATTCTTCTGTCGGGGAGCGAAATCATACAACCTAACCTGACCAGTCCATGGCGACAGCACTAGCCATGCGGCGCCAAATCTTCTGGCTCACGACTCCCTGTCCACTCCGATAGTAAAACAGATAGCAGTGACATTATTTTAGCTACTGTGGTGGTGGTCGTGGTAGTAGTTGTATTGGTACTTGAAGGATAATGCGGTAAATATTACATTAGCCCCATTCACTACCTATTACAATTTCTGCTCCCAATTTAGTCCGGATGGACAGGAATGTCAATGTCAGTTACAATAAAAAGAATATCGCCAGGTGATGATTTTTCAATCCTTCGAAGAGGGAGAGACCATTAGTCGGTGGAAGAGGGGAAGGGAGAGGGTAATGACTGAAATTTAAGAGAACTTGAAGAGCTTTACACATGATTTTTAAGTTCTCATTACTTACTTCAATTGTTTATATTTTACTAACGCTACCTTCACTAAGCTAATTTTTGTAAGACTTACTTTGTTATTTACAAGTACAGTAGTAGCTTTACTTCCGTCTCCTATAAAAATACAAACAGCTTTAGCATGTGATAACCAAATAACCACTTTTGTTACTGTGCTAATAGCACCATTTAAACGACCACTAATATAAAGACACAATTATATGGTGCGTGTTCTAAAGTTGGAAAACCAGACTATCTCTATATAAATGTGCAGAGAATGATTGCGACATTAACTATATTAGACAGGTGCTATTTCCATTGTCTTTCTTTTCCAAAAACCTTTGATGAGGGAGAGGGTAGTAGGTGGATTTAGTTGTGGGGGGGTGGGGGTGGGGGGGATCAAAGACTATCTCTATATCTGAGCAGACAATGATTGTATTATACACGTGCGATTTCTATTTTCTTTCATTTCCATTTAGCCAAACTATGCGACAGCAACGCGTGGCCGGGTACAGCTAGTTAACATATAAAACAATCGATTGACAGGGAATTGTTATAAATGCTGCCTATTTTAACAAACACGTGTTCGTTGATAGTGTGTATTATCTAGAAGATTTCAAAACAGTCACCAGACCGTTTCGTCCCTAGTGTTAATTCAATCCTCACAGAGAGGCGTTGTTGGTTAACTGAGATCAATATTCCAGTGTGTTGCCCTGGCTAAAACTAGCCAGTGTCGTTTTTCTCCGCACTACACTGTGATAAATCGATCTGACTAAAATAAACATGAATGGCTTCTGTAAAAATGGTAACACATTTCTTAGCGGACATTGGGCAATAACTATTTCAAACCAATACCTGTTTCTTCAATACAGCATATCGTCAATAACATATTTATCTTTTGGCACATGGAATGTGAGTCTTTCCCGTGATTTTCATCAACTTCTGTACACATTTAATTCAGCCAGGCATTTTTAGCCACTTTGCATTTCGTCACTATTTCTTTTTGTATTCTAGATTCTTCTTCTTTATCATTCTTGTTTTCCTTCTTTCTTCCATCAACTGCAGAATTTTGGTTGACTTCCATTTATTTTTTGCAACTATGGGTTGGTGTGATTGTCACTTTTGATGTCCGCTAAACTGACTCACCGTTCATACATAGTCTGATTAATTTCCATTGCATTATACTGGTTTTGTACAGTGACATCCTTTACTTCTTTATCCGTTCTAAGAATTCCTAAATTTAATTTGATGTTCTGTTGTGTTTTCCTAATATTTTTTAGTTTTATTCTTATCTTTCCTACAACTGGAACGTGGTTACTAAAGCAGTTCTGCTCCTGGTGTAGTTTTTGCTCCAACTAAGCTGCTCTGGAATCTTCTTGAAATCAAGATATAATCAATCTGATTGTGGACATTATCGCCAGGACTTTTCCAAGTCCACAATCTTCGAGGATGGTGTTTAAACCAGGTGTTACCTATTATCATGCTGCGTGACTCAGCCCATGCTATTAATCTTTCACCTCTCACATTCTTTTCTCCTAGGCCATAGCCACCCGTTATTCCGTACACTTGTTCATTTCCTATTTTCGTGTTAAAATCTCCAAGTACCACTGCTATTTTACAATGTTTCTATTGATCAACAGCCGTGTATAACTTGTTATAAAATGAGCATAAGTTATACAGGCTGTTTTGCCGGCACTAGGTGGGTGATGTGTCACAAGTACGCATGCCGCCTTTACTCCCAGGACCTTACCTGGTTCCAAATTTAGGTCGCGTCGACCCGAGAGCCAAGATCATTGTTTAAAAATAAAATATCGACTCAATGCCGATTTGAACCCTTAACTTTTCGGCCCGCATACGAGCAAGCAGCCACTACGCTACGGTGGCTCGGTGGATACCACTGACTATCATCATAAAGTATTGATATATAATATTTTAAATGCCATCATTTAATCTTCTCTCCGGGCGTCAACAAATACATAACAGATATAGGCAATAAGAGAGTCACAGTGGTGTAGCGGCTAGATGCTCGCCTGTGGATCCAAGGGTCGTGGGCTGGGGTCCTGGTGGAGCCGGACTTTTTTCACAACTGACCTTGTCTCTCAGGTCGACCCAGGATTGAGTGAGTACCAAGTACAGTCATGGGAAGTAGTGGACGCCGGCGTGGTGCTGACATCACTCACCTAGTTCCGATTGGACTATAAAATATATGTCTAGCCCCATAGGACCAACACGCCTGAAGGCGTAGAAAGAGTAATTTACTTAACTTTCATTTACTTACTTATAATGAATAAAGGTACAGTTTGTGTCTTGCTACTGAAAGGGGTAGAGAAGAATATTAGCATTAAAAAGCAAATAATAGTATTTATTCAGTTGTAAAAGCTCTCAATATCGTTTGTTATTTCATGTCCAAGATAGAATTACGCACTATAAATAAGAAACCGAACTCACCCCGTTGTAGCAGCACTGGACATCATGCTGGCAGCAAGACTACCTGCAGCAATACCTCCAGCACCAAACCCTACGCCTGCTATCACCAGTGGCGCTGCCACTACCGCAGCACCAGCAGCTCCCAATCCCAGGACCCAGGGAAGCACCTTCTTCACGATTTGTTTCTGTTGTTTACTTTTTGGAGGGTGATTTTGTTTCGTTGGTTGTTCGGGAGGATTGACTGACTTATCTGGAGGATTGACTGACTGATCTGGAGGATTGACTGACTGATCTGGAGGATTGACTGACTGATCTGGAGGATTGACTGACTGATCTGGAGGATTGACTGACTGATCTGGAGGATTGACTGACTGATCTGGAGGATTGACTGATTGATCTGGAGGATTGACTGACTGATCTGGAGGATTGACTGACTGATCTGGAGGATTGACTGACTGATCTGGATGATTAACTGACTGATCTGGAGGATTGACTGACTGATCTGGAGGATTGACTGATTGATCTGGAGGATTGACTGACTGATCTGGAGGATTGACTGACTGATCTGGAGGATTGACTGACTGATCTGGAGGATTGACTGACTGATCTGGAGGACTGACTGACTGATCTGGAGGATTGACTGACTGATCTGGAGGATTGTCTGACTGATCTGGAGGATTGACTGACTGATCTGGAGGATTGACTGTCTGATCTTTACGATTCAATGGCTGATCTGGACGATTCAATGGCTGATCTGGAAAATTCTCTGGCTGAACTGGAGGAGAATTCACTGGCTGATCTGGACGTTTCACTGGCTGATCTAGTTGGTCGGGGGGATTTTCTGCCTGATCGGGACAATTCAATGGCAGATTTGGACGATAAATTGGCTGGTCTAAAGGACTCGGTGACTCAACTAGAGGATTTACTGTCTGCTGTGGAAAGTCCACTGACCTTTCTGGTGGATAGCCAGAAAGATTCCCATGGCTGCTTGCTTGATAACTGCTCATGATTTCCAAAAAAAAAAAAAATGCTTTGTCCAGTTTAAAGCGATGTGGTCTTTCTGTGCTGTGACGGCTTCTGTATGTGTTAAGCGGTGATCGTTATTTTCAATCGTGCAATTGAGTGTACCATAGATTCTAATTGTTCACAAGATAACTTGCCTGGTCGATACTCCTCAGAAAATTAGAAAGAAAAATAAAGTATATAACTATAGGTTTAACATGTATGGTGTCTAGAATGTCATTCAGTTTCTTCATTAGCCCTCTACTGTTAAAAGTCTAGTGGGGATTAACTTGTGATGCTATTTCAGTGTCTTAAGGATTGCCCATAAAAGGCATGACACAATCTCACACGAAGAGCTTTGGGAAATAACACATGCCAGTGAATATAGAGCTGGAAAAAAAAGGCTGTCATGGAATAGAAACATGTAAAGGAACAACAGGTAAAAAAAAAAAAAAAAATAGGACAGCTATCATAAGCTAACAGTTTAAAAACATTTCACAAGAATTGTAAATGATTAGCGCAAGGTGAATATCTGGATACTGAAAGAGTTAGAAGAGTTTCTTCTTCGTTTGCACTGTAACCGCTACCAGTGTGGAGGGAGATTTAGTGTTTTCTTCTTGCTCTACTGGCGGCCTCGACAATCGCCAGATCGTGCTGTTGTAGTGTAGTTTCTCTGAAGCTTTCTTTCCATTTTTTCTTTCCTTTGGATCTACCTTGTGCTTTACATCGTTTTAATATTTTGGTGTAAGTCTTGTATGATATGTCGTCACAAGGCATTCTGTATAATTAGGCACACCTCTTGATTTGCTGTGTTTGTATGTAATTTAGAACTGGATCTGTCTGACCTTTTCTCACAAGACCTCATCTGCGATTGTATCTCTTCTGGTAACTCCTGCAGCCCTTCTCAGTTATCTCATTTCCATGGTTACTAATTTTGTTTTCTGGTTTGTTCTGGGTGACCACGCCTGGCACTGGTAGGCTAGAAGAACAAACGAACAAAGTGAAGAAAAGTCTGAACGGGACAGTCAATCTTCCCATGTGTGTTTATGGGGTCGGTGGAGTTGAAAGTGGGGAGGGGCGAAATTTGAATTGATTGACTGCACCCCGCCGTCCAACAAACATACCGTTAACGGCAACTAGAAGTTTTCCGACACTGGAAATGTTGCACCAACAGATATAGCAGCCTTGATGTAAGCCACAACGTAACAAGCCAACCGACCTTTCAAGGCCAGCGCAGAAGACTCGAAAATCTCACATCATTGCCATGAGACTTGCTAGGAAACATCGATCCCATCTATGCTGAACTGTATCTAGGGAAACCGCTAGGATGACCACCGAGAGATGAAGACAGGTCCTTGATGAGTCTGAGCCCAGATCAATCATTCATACCATAAAAAAAAAAAAAAAAAACGAACGAACAAATTTTTTTTCCAAGGGTTAAGAACTGGGCACGCAGGCCCGTCTAACATTCTGCCCTTCCAGTCCACTCCTTGCTTACAATTTTACATTAGCACATCATTGCATAGTCAATAATAAAAAAAAAAAATGTATACAACATCTAAGTCCTTAATACAAACACTAAAAGTGCATCTAAAAATACTTACATCTCTAAACTTATTAAAAAGTGTAGTAATAAATGTCAAGGAATGACAAGCCATTACACATTACCGTAAAAGAGTCGGGACCTGTATTACCTGTGCTCGACAAAACTTTCAAACTTGGAATGGTATATAGTCCCTTATATCGATATATGCCTTTATCGGATAAAATTATAATGTCTACATCTTCTAGTTTCTTTGACTTATCGTCATTTTCAAATTGGCACCTGTAAAATAATTATTTATAGAGTTATATGAATACTCCTGGAAACCGGTTTACTCCTTGCTCATGTATACAAGGAACTTCTTCGTACCGACGCCTAACTTGAATTTGTGCGGGCATTGTTTCTGCCGGCTTTCCTAGAGCTAAGATGTATGCATCGACGCCCCAGTAAATTTCATCTTAAGAAGGCGGCCTGTAGTGTCTAGGACTTTTCCTATGCTTGGGATGAAACCTTTGTGAAGGGCTGGCAGAATAATCACAGTCCAACCAACACCCACCAACCAACTATCAACCAACTACCCACCAGCTAACACCAGTGAAGGTACCTGGCATCATCATCGTGGGGTGTCATATACCCCAAATATCCTAACAGTGCCAGAGCATGTGAGTGAACTCCAGAGCAGGTGAACAGTTGTAGAGAGTATATCCATACTCGAGTAGACTGACTTCAGGAGCTTGGTGTAGCTCAGAGACAGTATTGTGACCTGACCAGTGGGAGAGACTTGCTGAGTACCTATACAGTTTCTGTGTCTTCTATGGTGAGGTACTCCTCTACTACCTGATCCACTTGAAGCAGAATTACCAGAGTCAAAGACAGTCGAATCTCCAGGAGCAAAAAACCTATTCCAAAAATTTTATAAGTCTAATAGGTTGCATGATATAAACATCATCGACAACAGTTAGATGTTACAAACTCTAGAAAGCGCTCGACTGGCACCTTCATTTCCAAACAATAATACATTTTACTAAAAACATAACTCACCCAGTAGAAACACTTCGAATGTTTAACATACTACACTCTTCTGTGCGGGCATATAGTCTGTAGTGAGATAATATTCAAATAGTTTCCGATTGTATGTAAAGGGGTTAGTGGTATGTTTTGATTTTCCATGGGAGATAATTTCACAGCTGAGCTGCAGAGTATGTCAAGCTTGCTTTGTGTAGGTACATATATAGTAAACATTAAGGCGTTTGCTATATTCCCCCCCCCCCCCCCCCCCCCCCCCCCAATTACCCCCCCCCCCCCCCCCCCCCCCCCCCCCCCCCCCCATTATAAAAAAATATTAGGCCAAAGGTAAAGTGGAGAATTTTGGATAAGATTTTTTGAATAACTTTGGCTTTATTGAATAGCAGGCGTTCCAGAAGCGGTAATAGCAAAAGTTCTTTATATAGGTGCGAACAGTCACTTCCATGACTATAAACTATTAAACGAACAGCCCCTTTGTTGAGTGCTTTCAGTCGTTTGATGACTGAATTTTTACATCCAGTCCCATATCGTGGAGCAAAAGTTTATGTTTAAATAGGAGAAGTATAGCATTAATTTCCATATGCTTTCACCCACCTGTGGTTTGGTACCTCCGCATCATTACCTGACAATTGTACCACATGAACATTAATGTAATGTAAACAAAATTAAGTAATAAATTACCCCTTCCCATACCTTGAAATTTATTGGGTATATGTTCCTAACGTCATTTCTTTACACAAGAATAAACGCCAACAAACGATATGATCCATCTTACGTCGGCTATCTTAACATATTATGTGAACTTTGGCTGAGATTTGAGCTACTGTAGTTGCGTAACCAAGTGTTTCTCAAATAATCTCCAGGACCATTATTTTAAATAAGTGGGTCACAGGTGATCTTGAAGATTGTACCGTTATAGTTCGTTCCAGATTTCGTGACCAATTAAAAATGTATAGCACAGTAACTGTTCGGTGCACACTGCTGCAATTTGGCGTGCAACCTGATAATACTCAAGGTCATTTTAAATATACATTTGCGGTCTTAGCAAATGTATAGTTTAAATATTGCCTTAACTCTTTGAGACTAAGGAGTTTTAGCATTAGAGGCCCAAGGGGTAGTCAAAACAGTTATAAAAATGGCACATCTTGCGTTCACTGGGCTTCTAGGTAGGAGCCTATGAACGTATGATGCGTTTTTTGGGACTCAAAAAGTAAGTTTCGGTATTTGAGACCCCCCCCCCCCCCCCCCCCCCCAAAAAAAAAACATCGTTTGAAAAAAAATCAGCATGCTTACAGTTAACTGAATCACAAAACATTTCCTTACATCAAAATGCACGAGTTTTACGGTCTTAACAACGTTGGTAGCCTGTGAGCACGGTAATTGCTGGTATTTTTTCTGTTCATGTGGACTAGTAATTTCCCCTGGTCTCTGGGTAATGAGATCTGACATCCGTGTGCGTTGTTGTGCACGTAAAAATTCTCTTGGCAGTTTGGAAATCGAAAAGAGTAGCCTAACGGCCCTGCCCGGGCAAAATTTGGAGTTAAAAAGCTACATAAAAAGTTATTCAAATTCTTCTCCGGTGCAACAGATTTCGTGCACTGCGCTGAGACATTT